TAGAGCAACCTCAGAGCGAGGACATAAAATACTCCCATTCAGAATCCGAGAATAAATCTTATGGATACGGCAAAAACTTGTGGTCAAGCTCGGAACATCTATTTTAGCTTCTGTCGAAGAGAGCGCAATAAACAAAGAGATAAATATTAAACTTTGTTCATTGTGTTACCGACATCTCCACCTATGATGAGGTGATGGCCAGGGTATTCGGATGCATCGAACGCTTGATTTATGATGTATGAATTAGTTGGGGTATTGGCGCAACTTTCGATCTATAACAATTCATATCATGATGGTTATTTGATCCACTAGAACAGTGGTCGCCAAGCTTTTCAGTGTGTTGAGATACTTTGATAATTTTTTAATAAACAGTGAGCTACCTAATCGTAAGCAATGTAAACCGACTTAAATGAAATTATACATAGTTGTTTGCGACATACGAGTATATGTGATTATTTTACTAATACCAATACATACTAGTAAACTTAAATACACTAATAACTAATACATACTTCATATCTACATCCATTCCTACCATTCGTAGGTGTTTGAAAAATAAACAAAGTATTTCGTCAGCTACAATGGCATGTTACATACGAGTTAATAAATAAGTCAAAGCAACGCACTATTTTAAACAAAGACAGATAAAAGATGCGTGTTCAGTGAAAAGCCGGACACTCAGACTCACTGACCATTTTTTTAACGTTTGAAGTATAATTTGATACCGACATTCTGTTATTAATAATCCTCATATTTGAAAAAGAAGATTCACTCAAATAGGTTGAACTAAATAATGCTTTCACTTTCAAGGCAACCTGACATAAAACTGAATATTTATATTTACTTACTGAAGGCCATATACACTTTGTATTTGAGACTAATGATTTTAAAGCAAAATCATTTTGAGACACAATCACTTCCATTTCTGTCGCAGCGATGACTTCGCTAACATTCTGTGTAACAGAAGTTGCAAACTGTTGGATATCAATTTCCATGAAGGAACAACAAATTGCGCCACTATAGCAATTCCGTGAAATCCTTGGAACGATTTATGCAGTTATCCTTCAAGTTGGAGACCATTCCTACATGATATTTACTGTCATAAATATGGTCCTAATGAACTTTGAGATACCTTGTTTGAAAGATCAGGAAAATGTCTGGTATCGCCATCGATTAAGTTTTGTTACCAAAACTCAAGACTTTCGATAAACCCTTTTATATCGGAAATCATTTCTGATAGTTTTTTGTCTCTCCCTGAAGCTGCATATTAGGTTCATTTAATATCCACAAGAAAACCAAAATCTCTAAGCCAGATTGAGTTTTCCAGTTCCAGAATCGGTTCATCACGTTGCTTGAAACTTGAAACATTGAACTATGGCAGATATGATATCATTAAAGCGTTCCAGCATTCGTCCCCTACTTAGAAGTAGTATTGACAGGCAATTTCATCGGTCAAGGTTTTGAATAATCTTCTTTGAAACGTTTGAACTCTAATCTTGTTCACAATTTTTCCTACCAATTTCATAACGTTGTTTGGTTTTATAAAAAGTCCACATAATTCTTGCTGGTAGGTAATGCAGTGGTAATAGAGAAATTGTGGAAAACTTTCATCTTGACGACATAACCCCACGAGACCCTTATCACGAACCACCACAGCTGGAGCGCCACCTACTGGAATTTTCTTAGAAGAAATAATTCTTTTTTAACAGAAGAAAACAAGTCCTGTTTAGTAGTCTGTCCTAGTCCTAGTAGAATAAACTTCAGGAGATCTTCTTTAATCGTAAAATCACTAAGAACCATCTTGAAGAGCACGGCCATCTGAGAGGTGTCAACGACATCTGTGGATTCATCTGGCTGCAAAGAAAGATGAGCACAATTATCGGAGTCATTTCTTAACTGTAAAATCATTACTCATTTCTTCTACTCGTCTCATCAAATTATTAGCGGAAAGTTTCATATTATAGCAGACACTATCTGGTCTTTATTTCTAAAGTTGGCAGATAATGAATCTGCAGCTTCTAAAAACGCCCGTTTTATCGTCTATCTACATAAGGTTTCTTTTGTGTAATCATGTGTGACACAAGGTATAATGCTTAAGTTTCAGCCTTACTTCTGTCGATTGTTTTCAAAAACATTGTCTGTTGCCCAATTAACTGATTTTCTGATTCTATGGAAGAATGGCACATCCAATTTACAGCTCAGGCGATAGAACCTAGCCTCCACTAGTGCTCAAATATCTCGAAGTATAGGCAACACAAACAGCTACTACAAATAAATATGAAGTAAATGACAGCTAGCTCAAAGTGACAATTAAGGCGATCAGAGTGCTACCGCTTTCATATTGTAGTTACCTAATAATAATGATGATGATAATAATAAGAATAATTATATCTATTTGCCATTTTACACAATCTGAAAATACAAAATATGTTAGCAAATAAATATTCCAGCGCTCACATGAGATAAACAGCTTATGTGTGAGTTTAAATTATTAGCCTAATAATAAACAAAAAAAGAAACATATTCATGTAAGTTATGTACCAGTCTACAGAGAAGAATATGCTGAACAAGGACTTTTGCCTCCACGTTCCTTTCTTATCAGTTACAGTATTGTATTTCATTTGTTCTTTACTTTGGTTTGTATAATGAACTTTGCAGTCAGTCTCGATTCAGAACTCATTCAATTAACATCATTGTATTTGGTCTTTCTCAAAAATAAATCTTTTTAAAAACGTTTTCGTTGAAGAAAGATATTTGAGTGGCGCAGTCAAAGCAGTAGGATAGTCAGACGAAAAAAGGGACATTTTTCGGTTCGTTTCAACGGTTTACTGGCTATAACGAAACCAACCGCGATTGGTCGCGAACGATCCGACGGAATATCGATATCGTTACCGTGATCACCGGAACCAGATTTGGGATAGAACCCTACCCAAATCGAGAAACCAAGACGACAGCAGCCCAGAGGACAGAAGGAACATCTGCTCCAGGACAGGCAACCCAGCAGTGGCCCAGGCATACGGACACATGGGACGGATTGGATTACTACTGTAAGTACGAATGTCTTACAGGGGTGAAAACAACCAAAAGCTGTTTGATGATATATTGAGTGACACTGATTCGGACTCACAGTCGGATACGGAACATATCCAACATAGTTTAAGGAACTTACAATTAAGACCTAGTATACTAAATAGTACAGTCAATATGAACAAAAGTCAAGTAAATCAATCAAGCATGTCATTACGCCCAGAGTATCTTAACATGATACCCGAATTTTATGGTCAACAAGAATTATTACCAAGATTCATAGATATTTGCGAAAAGTTAGTGAATAAATTTTATAGATTAGAGGATGAAAATGACTTCCAGAACGAATATCTTATGAGTAGTATTTTAGCGAAAATCAAAGGTAATGCAGCTTTAAATATTAGTAGCAATATTATAAAAAATTGGACAGACTTGAAAACTGCACTTTTAAATACATATCAAGACAAGCGTGACGTATTTACTCTAAATATAGAAATGTGTGAATTGAAACAGAACAATGAAACCCCCTTTGAATTTTATAACAAAGTTCAGAGTTTATTGAATTTACAAATATCATTTTTAACTACACATTGTGTGAGTGAAGAAGCTCAGATAATATGTAATTTTTGCAAAAGCGTAGCATTAAGAGTATTTCTAAAAGGTTTAAAGGAACCTCTAGGATCACTCATGAGGACGAAAAATCCTACAGACTTGAATGAAGCTCTGAATATATTAACTAACGACTTTCAGCTTGATCATAAGGTAGATAAACATAAAAATGTTAATCGAAATAATATGCATATGGCGAACTACCATATGAACAACAACTTTGGTAATTATAGGAATCGATACCAAGCGGTACAGCGTCCAGTATTACAAAGACAATTTAGTCCTAATAATGTACGACCAAATAATCCTAACCAGAATAGAACGAATTTTCACAATAATAACGTTTTTAGACCTAATCAGATCAATAATCTGCCAAGGCCTACTCCGATGAGTACATCCACTAGACAGACGTATCAGCAACCAAATTTTCAAGGTAGAAATTTTAACAGACCTGGTATAAACGCAGAACAGGCTATGTTTAACTTATGTGCACAAGACCAACCTGTTGTAGAATTTCCAAATGATGACAATTATGAGTGCGCTTATTCTCAGAATAATTCTGACGATTTTTTATGGCAAGAAGCCTCGGTACAGATACAACCACAAGTCTCAACGGACCACCCAAGTCAATAGAAATTATGAGTTTAACCGACAAATGTAGCAAACTACCATACATTGTATTTCCGGAGTATAATCTCAAAGTATTGATTGACACTGGAAGTACAAGATCTTTCATACACCCTGAAATTGCGAAAAAATTATTTTCAAGACATATTCAAAAAGACCCATTTCAAATCACTTCAGCACATGGTTCATCTATCGAACAATATAGTATGACAATACCTTGTCCAAAGATTTTTAAGAATCCAAATATTCTCATGAAATTTCATTTATTCAAGTTTCACGAACATTTCCAATGCCTTTTAGGACTCGATAACCTGAAAGAGATATTGAATGCCAACATTGATTTGAGCAATGATCTTTTAGTCACACCCACAACAAGGATACCCATGCAATATCACGAGATTACAAAAAATTCTTCTAATGTTATCACTGTTCCACCTAGAACAGAACAGATAATTAAGGTTAACATAAAAAATTTAAAAAATGGTAATGCTATTATTCCATACAGAAAATTATTATGTTTAGAAATCCCTGAATGTCTTACTACAGTGAAAAATCACGAAGCGATTTGCACAGTATTAAATTTATCTGAAGAACAGATTTCTCTTGACATATCTCGACCAATAGATGTAGAAAATTTTGAAAATTACGAAGTTTCAGAAAATTCTGATCCACCGAATATTAATTCTTTGAACTTTCAAAAATATAAATTTGATATTTCCAAAATTAGGACAGAGCATATGAACTCTGAAGAAAAAGACGCAATCACCAAGTTAGTAAGAGAGTATTCAGACATATTTCACATAGATGGTAATTACTTAACCTTTACGAGCAAAATTAAGCATCATATACGTACAAGCGATGAAATACCCATTTACACGAAATCATACAGATATCCTGAAATCCACCGAAAAGAGGTACAAAGACAAATACAATCAATGCTTGATCAAAAAATTATTAGAGAGAGCCATTCAGCGTGGTGCTCACCTATATGGATTGTTCCAAAAAAATTAGACGCATCGGGAAAGCAAAAATGGAGAATAGTCATTGATTATAGAAAATTGAATGAAAAAACATTGGGAGATCGTTATCCTCTTCCAAACATAACAGATTTGTTAGATAAATTAGGGCGATGCCAATATTTTTCAACATTAGACTTAGCTTCAGGTTTTCACCAAATAGAAATGGCAGAAGATGATATTCAAAAAACTGCATTTAATACAGAAAATGGACACTACGAGTTCACAAGAATGCCATTTGGACTAAAAAACGCGCCAGCGACTTTCCAGCGAGTAATGGATAACATACTGAGAGGTATTCAAAATGAAAAATGCTTAGTATATTTAGATGACATTATAATATTCAGTACTAGTTTACAGGAACATATTTCTCGACTTAGAGAAGTTTTTGAAAGGTTACGTCAGTCAAATTTTAAAATACAGTTAGACAAATCGGAATTTCTTAGAAAAGAAGTATCGTATTTAGGTCATGTTGTAACGGCGGATGGTGTGAAACCAAACCCCGATAAGATAAAGGCAATTACAGAATTTAAAATACCAAAAACTAGGAAGCAAATTAAAAGCTTTCTTGGACTTTTAGGTTATTACCGTAAGTTTATAAAAGATTTTGCGAAAATCACTAAGCCATTGACAATCAGATTGAAAAAAGATGCAATTATTAATCCCAATGACGCAGATTATATTAAATGTTTCGAATTATGCAAGACTTTATTGACAAACGATCCGATACTCCAATATCCGGATTTTTCCAAACCATTCTTGATAACTACGGATGCAAGTAATTATGCAATCGGCGCAATATTATCCCAAGGTAAATTAGGCTCAGATTTACCAATAGCGTACGCCTCACGAACATTAAGTGATTCAGAAACAAAGTATAGCACGACAGAAAAAGAACTTCTAAGTATCGTATATGCAGTAAAATATTTCAGACCTTATATTTTCGGACGTAAGTTTACTATTGTAACAGATCACAAAAGCCTCCAATGGTTATTTTCAGTTAGATATGCTAGTTCAAAATTACTAAGATGGCGCTTAAGATTAGAAGAACATGATTTTGACATTGTTTACAGGAAAGGCAAATCAAACACAAATGCGGACTTTTTATCTAGAATAGAAGTAAATGTTAATGAAACAGGAGCACCGACTCCACTGGCACAATACATGAAAGAATTTAATAGAAATCTTGAAAATCCATCGAATATTTCCAATATTCCCAATCAGACCGATAACTATTCGATCGCACCTCAACCCAATGATTTAGATAAAATTGATGAAAATGAAAATGATTCATCAGGACACACTGTTCATTCTAATATAGAAAATCCTACGATAAATATTCCAATTAGTGATACAGCAGTAAATTGTGCAAAAAATCAAATTATTATTTCCGAAGTAAACCTCGAACCAGCTGATCCAGTAGTTAGTAGATTACATGTGAATAAACAGCGAATATCCGTTCAATTATCAAAGAACAATTTTGAAGCTGATACAATTAAATTTGTAAAAGAATTTATTGCACCAAAGGTAAAATATTGTTTATATTTTGAAGACCCAGTCTATGAAAAGTTCAGCGTAGTTCTTCAAACATATTTCAAAAATTCCCAAATAAATCTAGTAAAATGCACAAAGAAATTGATAGACGTTACAGATCAAAATGAGATTAAGGATATAATCAAGAATTATCACGAAGGTAAAACCAATCATCGAGGAATCGATGAAACTGATAAAAGAATAAAACAAATATATTATTGGCCGAATTTAAGAAACTCGATACAGACTTATATTAATGAGTGTGAAATCTGTCAGTTAACAAAATACGACAGACACCCGTTAAAACTTGAATATAATATTACGCCAACGCCTACGAAACCATTCCAAATTTTATACGTAGACACTATTTCTTTAGAAAATGCAAAATTTTTGACTATGACCGATTCATTTTCAAAGTACGGTCAGGCTTACATGTTGAACTCTGCCAATGGAGTAGAGGTAACAAATAAATTTATAAGATATTTTACACATCACTGTATACCAGATCAAATGATTTTCGACAATGGCACAGAATTAAAAAATTCAGTAGTCAAAGAACTTTTAGAATTGCATAAAGTCAAAATACATTTTATTAGTTCACAGCACCCAGAATCTAACGGAACCGTAGAACGTTTCCACTCAACGCTCATAGAACATTTAAGATTATTGAATAATCAGGTAGAGTACAAGAACGAACCTATAGAAACTAAGGTAAATTACGCTATTTTAGCTTATAATAACACAATACATTCTGTAACCAATCTTAAACCCTATGAAGTGATTACTGGTCATTTCAATACAGAATCACCTTTTAATATAGACATAGATAAGCAATTATTAAATAATTATTTACAGAATCATAAGGAAAAAATGAAATTAGTATATAGGAATTTACATGAAAAGATATTACAGAATAAAGAAAAAGTTATAAATAAAGCAAATGAGAAACGTGAAGTTTTGCCTGATATTCCTAACAAGGTATATGTTAAGAATAAGCAGAAGCAACAGAAAACTAAAAATAAGTATAAGCAAGAAAAATTAATTAGTATAGATAAGAAATTAAAAAGAGCGGAGATAGATCCCACACATGCCAATACTTCCAAAAATATCCATTTATCCAATATTAAAAGGCCCAGGAAGAAAACTTATCAATTTAAATTTACTAATATTTCAGATACCTCATCTATTTCGGATGCGGAACAGAAATAAGAAACATAACGAACAATTTAGGAATTTTGCCAGTAAATTTAGGCACAGCTAGGCTACAAAAGACAAAACATACTTTTGTGCACTATTATGATCTATCACCTTTATATAAGGAATATGAAGATTTGAATATTCAATACAGTAATCTTAACTATAGTTATAGAAACCATTCTAAGATTAATAACGAGCTAGAAAATTATAGTAAGATAGTATCTTATATAAGGAGCTTGATTCAAGAGAAAACCGAATACATTAAATCTCATTCTCAAAAGACTCGCAATAAGAGAGGACTTTTTAATGGCATAGGCTATGTAGTAAAAACAATAACAGGAAATTTAGACTCCGACGATGGAGAACGTATTGATAAAATTTTATCTCATTTACAAGAAAATCAGCATCATATTCAAAATCAGCTGAGAATGCAATATTCAGTAAACAATGAACTTGTCGCAAAATTTAACGGGACTATTCAAGATATACAGCACAATGAGATGACATTAAGAAATAACATTTTACAATTGAAACATATTTTATTGAACCAGACAACAAACCGGGATATTCTTTCAGCGAAGGACATTATCAATCAATTAATTATCCTTTATAATGCCATATTGAATATTTTACAAGATATCGAAAATTCGATAACTTTCTGCAAATTGAAAACCATGCATCCCAGTATAATAAGGACTAGAGAATTATTTCAAGAACTCCGTAAGATATCCACATTTTATAAAAATGAATTACCATTTGAAGTAAAGTATGAAAATATGCTAGATTATGAATCTATTATTTCTATCAGTTGTAAAATCGATCAGAATCAAATAAGTTATTTTCTATCTATTCCTATAGATTATCCTGAACATTTCGATCTTTATTATATGTTACCCATACCGACTCTGATGCACAAATCAGAATTCGTCACTATTATCCCAAATTATAAGTATTTGCTAAAATCTGATCGAAATGAGATCAAACCCCTGCACGAGATTTGTACCCAAGGTAGAATCTATCAATGCCCTAATCGTATATTAGCCAATCACAAAGCCCAATGCGAGAAGTCAATAATTACAGAAGATCATACAGAACCATGTAGATACACGAAGCTTCAGATTGAAGAAAATCACATTGAATTTATTCCCGAAATTAACCAGTATTTAGCTGTATTTCTCACCGAAGAAAAATTGAAAATTAAATGCAAGGAGCAAATCGATACAAAGTCATTACTTGGCATTTTCTTAGTTAAAGCCAGTGAATGCCAAATATCATTCCAAGACAATGAACTTATCTTTCAAGACAAAACCTATGGAAAGCCCCTCGTAGCTGACAAAATGGATTTCCATTTTATGAAACAAAATATCCCAGAGACACAAATTACTCTGAAAACATTAAATTTACCAGAATTACAAGTTAATCGAATGTTACCAATTTTAGAAGAAAATTCCATAGAAAATTTTGGAAAACCCAGTATTTGGACCATATTACTATATCTCGTATTTTCAAGCATCTGCTGCATAATTTTATATAGAAGATGGAGAAACAAGAAAGCATCCAAGTTAGAAATCGACATTGAATTAGCCGAGATGAAAGAAGAAGGTCCAAGTCCCACAAAACGCACTAGAAGAGAAGATTCCAGTTCAAGATATAAGAAGAAAGAAATTCACCTTCCAGGGGAAGCTTCATTCTAGGGGTGGAGGAGTTATGTACCAGTCTACAGAGAAGAATATGCTGAACAAGGACTTTTGCCTCCACGTTCCTTTCTTATCAGTTACAGTATTGTATTTCATTTGTTCTTTACTTTGGTTTGTATAATGAACTTTGCAGTCAGTCTCGATTCAGAACTCATTCAATTAACATCATTGTATTTGGTCTTTCTCAAAAATAAATCTTTTTAAAAACGTTTTCGTTGAAGAAAGATATTTGAGTTGTATAAAGTCGAATAATTTGCCCAATCACTGTTACAATAGTATGAATCCATAAAAAATGTTGATATATTAATAATATACGCTGAACAATCATGTGACTACAATGAAACATACATTCTTATTGATTTAT